GATTGTATATGTCTTTCTATAATAGAAACCACACAAATTGAATAATCATTCCCTTTTATTCCTTCCCTCTCTACAACTAATTTATGATTCATGGTTTATACACTGACAAAATATCACCAAATAGATCCCATTGTCATGTGTCTTTTATTCTTCACTATTTTTCAAAGCTAACATACAAAGTAATATTTTTCATTGTGACATTTTCACACAGCACACCTTGTTCTTAGTCACTCCCCATACCCACTCCTTCCCCCATCCTGGCAGCCCCTTCTGGCTAATCACCTTCTTCTACTCTTCTTTCATGTCACGTGAACCATATTACAATCTCATTCTGCTCCTTCTGGATCACTTTAAATGTCTTCATTCCTTTGTATGCTCTTATTTTTAGCTCATGACTTGCTCATGCACACACCACACACACACACACACACACACACACACACACACACACACACACTTAAATATAGAATCTGACCAAAAGATAAACCATGCTGCATTTATCTTCGGGATGATAGCTTATTTTGATTAATATAATAATTTTCCATATTCATACATTTTCATATGAACACCATGATTTTATTTTCATTGTTTTTCTTTTCTTTTATTCTTTTGGTTTAAAATTAGCATTCAGAGCAATGAGTTTCATTATGGTAATGTATAAATAATTTGTTTATGTTCCTCCATCTTCCTCATCTGGTCCTCCATTATCCTGTTCAGTTGTATTGTTCTCTTCCTCTCTCTAGCTACCCTCTTCCTGTCATATGTCTGCTAATATCATTTGTCTTAGCTAGGGTTTCTATTGCTGTGATGAAACACAATGACCAAAGAAAGCAATGTGGGGAAGAAAGGGTTTATTTTGCTTACATACCTGAGGCACAGTCCATTGAGGGAAGCCAAAGCCAGAACTCAAAGTAGACAGGAATCTAGAGGCAAGAACTGATTCAGAGACCACAGAGGGTTGCTGCTTACTGTCTTTGCTCCTCATGGCTTACTCAGTCTGCTTTCTTATAGAACTCAAGACTACCAGTATAGAGCAAACAACTTCCAAAAAATAAGAAATGACAGAAACTGCCCGGTCAGTCACCCAAGATTCCTTTGCAACATTGGGGCATCCATCTTTGGTCTATAGGCTTAGAATATCTGACAGACTTATCTATGAAGCAGGATCTTTGAGGGACTGTCCCACCTTGTCTTGGCAAAGCTCTACACTCACTTTCCTTTCTGTCCTGCTTGAATTTAGACAACATATTGCCAGCAGTCAAAGAAAGGGCATTTTCTTGCCCAGTGGCTAACTTTCTTTGCCACAAAGAAAGTAAACTCCATATAGTTTCTTCTATACCTGATGTAAGATGAATTGCTAAATGGTCTTATTAATTAAAAACAAAACAAAATCCAGAGCCAGATACTGGAGCTAAAGCTGAGGGATCAGAGGAATAGGACAAGCCACAGCCAACCTAACCTTAGCAGCCCTCAGTCTCCAAAAGAGACCTACTTCCTATATACCCACACCTATATGCCTTTCTGTCCCTGCAATCTCACTTCCTCTCTCTGCCCAGCCACATCACTTCCTCTTCCTCCCCAGCTTTGTCTCTTCCTGTCTGTCTATACAGACCTACAGACCTTTATGGTTAACTAATGTTGGAATTCAAGGCATGTGCCACCATGCCTGGCTCTGTTCCTGTGTGGCCTTGGACTCACAGAGATATGGATGGATCTATGCCTCCCAAATGCTAAGACTAAAGGCATGTGTGACCATTGCCTGCCTGACTTCTGTGTTTACTGGAGTGGCTGACTTTTTCCTCTGATCCTCAGATAAGGTTTATTAAGATACACAATACATTGGGGGACACAATATATCACCACAACCCATCATCTTCTTTAGAGTAGATTGGTACTGCCAGGAGCAGACATGTTTCATTGTTTAAAAAAAAAACTTATGTGATTAAAACATGTTAAATACCATATTCTATAGATCTCTTAAGTATTTGAAGACCACTTGACTATCAAAAATATACCTGTTTGACCTTGAAAACATACCTAACATGAATGTAAGCTTGATTATAATAGGTGACTAACTACTAACCTGCATTTCTTTATTATCCTAAATAGTTTGTAATAATAACTTTCAAGGACTAGAAATTCACATTACATTGTTAGATGAGCTGCATAGGCACAATAGCTTGAATTAGAGTAGAAGCACACAAAAATCCATATCAATGTAAAATATTTAAAGCTAGTGGTTGCTTTTTTGGTTTGAAAGTAGATTAAATAATCTACCTTTTTATTCTATAATTTCTAAAACATATATACAGTTTAACAAAAACAACCTCAAATTTGTATCAATATATAAAAATCCAAGCCAATGTAAAAATACTTAAAACTAGTATTTGGTTTTTAAAAGAAGTTTCAATAATCTACCTTTGTATCCTATTTCTATATCCCCCCTTTTTATTTGTAAAATGAGATCCCTGAATCTACTCTTCTTTGCTCAGCTTTTTTCCTGACCATTACCAATAACAACTTGTAAACAACCCTCCTAAATGATGACAAATATCCATAACCCACTAAATGACCAAAAAACCCACTTCACCTCTTGGGAATGTGACCATCATATTCTTAAAATTACTTCCTGTTGTCTGGGGGCAACAGCATCTTTAGGGGACCCTGAAAAATATTGGCATAATTGTCAAGTCCTGGGAGAGCTAGCTGTATCATTTGTTATCCAGTCTCTGTGTAATGGGAATGTGCAAGGCTTGTCTCAAGTCCTGGCTAGAATAGTCTGTGAGGCTGGACCATCTCAGCTAATCACCTTTTAAATGGTTCTGAGCAATTTGTAGTCGTAAGCCAGTCTTTAGTTGATATTTGTTAGCTTAGTGGCATTACCATAGTACAGGTGGAATCATCTTATGGGGCCCCATCCTCCTTTTGGAGACTTCAGAGATCTTGGTTAGTTATGATTATGGTTCACTGTGGAAAACTCAAACATTTTAAATGTCACTTGCAGCAAATCTCAAAGAGGTTAAAGAACCATAATTTGTTATATACATCCAGCGTACAAAAACTTAATTCCCAGTTTCTTGATAGAGACTCAAACCTGAAATCATGTGAGGAAGCTAGATGAAGCCTTTTTCTAGAATTAGTACTCTATATGACCATTAATATCATGACAAAAGTTTTATATATATATATATATATATATATATATATATATATATATATCTTATAAATTTTGATATAATATTCATACCTTAAGAAAAGTTTTAAAGAGTCAAAATAAAACCAAAGTATCATGAGATTAGTAGCAATAGAATAATCCCTTAATTTTGGTTTTGCTTCTGTCCCATATAAGGTGGCTCTTCTGACATAAGACAGAGATTTTGGATTTTCTTTTTAACAAGCATGCTTATGTTTAGAGAAAGAGAGAGCCACACTCCAACTCCAAGGCAAGCTTTAATTTTAAATTGCAATGGGACCTCAAAAAGACCATTTACATTATGAGTCTGTAGAGAACAGCAGAAACAAACATTTGGGAAGATTCATGAAATTTTATCCTGTTGGAAATGTGATATACCAATAGGCCAATTTACTCCTTTTCTTGGGACATTTTCTCAGGATGACTCATCCTTTTTCTTCAAATGTCTCATTTGTCCAGTGATCTTCAGATTCTTTAGTGGTTGCCTTCATTCTCCTAGAAAGGCAAAAACAAAACACTGTCCCAACCCTAACTTCGCGTGTTTCCCTTTAGGCAAGTTGTATCTGATCAAATGAAAAGCATTAGTTAGTTTTATAAGTAAGTTTAGATTGAGCAATCAGACTAGTTGATGAACTATCACCTCTTCTAGTCAAGAAGTTTCTCTTGTTCAAATCTAATCTTTATCAATTTTTATTTGTGGTTTCTCCTGAAATTTTGTTTTTATCTTCTAAAGCTATTCTATCATTTAGAGCAGTATGGTTTTTTACAATAGACATTAGGTTCTTTAATTGCTCTGGAGAAGAGTTTCCCTCACTGTGACAGGGAATGACTGAACCAAATTTGACATGTGGGCCTGTGAGAGTTCCCTTAAGGCATTTCCCAATGGCAAAGGGTTACCCTGCCTGTCCCTTGTTGATCTGCATTCATTGGTCCAATGTCAGCCTTTGCTTCTTCACTTTCTACACACTCCAGAAGGGAGGGGCCTTCTATTTGGATTATGCCTAGAAAAAACATTGTTTCTAGGAATGCCCTGTCTACAATCTCTTTTTAGGTGACCTTGTTTGCCACAATTAAAATACATGACATTTTGATTTTTCTTCAATTTTCTGGAACTCACCCTCCTATCTAAGCATCATCATGGTTATGAGATTCAAACACTGACTATCTCAGATCCATTCCTCTATGGGTGCTGATCTTATCTTTAAAGGCTTAATTACCCTTTTGCATTGTGAATTAGCATTTTCAAAAGCCAAAGTTTCAATTATTATTTGTCTAGCTTCCAAATTTGATATCATTCTATTTACAGCTGAAGTCAATCTTTGTAAAAAAAAAAAAAAATCAGTGAAGGTCTCTTTTGGGCCCTGTATCACTTTAGTAAATAACTCAGTTCTCTTTCTGAGTTCTGTCCCAAGCATCAAAGCTGCTGCATGGCATACAGCCAGAGTGTGGTCATCATATCTCAGTCTGGGTCTGAATATCTCTATGATCTGTCTTAATGCATTTTTCTAAGTCTGATATCTTGGCACTCATATCAACCAACATTTTTAGGAATAAAACAAGAATTATCAAAATGATAATTAACATTGTGTCTACCCCAGTTAAGTTGATTATCCCTTCATTTAATTGTTCCATTTTTAAATCACTCATTGTGTAATCACACAGAGACCTAACTCCCTCCATCAAAATACTGTTTCCCAGTTCTTAATGTGGGGGGAAAAAAAAACCTCTCTATTTTTTAAACTAATTCCCCCTTTAAGAATTCTCAATTGTCTCACCAAATTTGCTGACAAAGATGGTGAAGGTGATGTTGAAATGTGAGGCTGACTGCAGCTGCGTGGAACAGTGGAAGCAGGAGCGGAGTGCAGCAGCAGCCCGAGGAGGGGGTCCAGGGAAAGCCAACAACCCACCAGAAGAGTGAGCTGTCTGTCTGAAAAAAGACACACAGAGGATTGTGGGGAAGAAGCACATGCAGGGAGGCTGCCTGAAGGGAGAGCTGGCTGGTGGTGAGGGGCTAACTCAGGTGGCATTTCAAGCCCATGCATCTGTGGCATTTGTTGCAGAGAGACTGCAATAGAAAAATCCTAAACTCACTCAGAGGCTTGGGGACAAAAGAAAGGAAAACCTAGCAGGCAAGGTGGTGACCCTGGCAGGAGCCCCCTTGCATGCAGCTCTGGCATGTGTTGGTGGCTACAAAGCCATGGGAAAGTGGCTTTTTCATGAATTCGTGGCCCAAAAGTTAGACAACAGAAGATACGTGATCCCAATTAGTCTTATCAATAAAAACCAGGAGTCAGATATCAGGGTGAAAGCTGAAATTTCCGAGAAGCAGAACAGCCACAGCCACTTCTTAGTTCTCCAAATCCTCAGACCAAAAAGGAGGCCAAGATCCTGTCTCCACTCACCTTATATTCCTATCTCCACCTCCTGATTGCACTAGGATCAAAGGCATGAGCCTCCCAAGTGCTGGTATCAAAGATGTGAGCCACCACCACATGGCCTCTATGGTTAGCTAGTGACTAGCTCTGCCCTCTGATCTCCAGGCAAGCTTCATTTGTTACAACACAAAAAAAATATCACACAACAGGTTTGCCTCCATTTCAAGACTTTTTTCACCCCTGAGAGGATCCTCTTTTTTAATTTCATGATCTATAGTCACACACATACACATATATATGTACATACATAAAGGATAAAGATCCATAATCCACACATGGCAGAAAACATATTTGTCTTTCTGAGTCTTGGTTTCTTCACCTAAGATAATTTCTAGTTATACCCATTTTCCTGCAAATGTCATTACTTAATTTTTCTCTCCAATTCAATGAAATTATATATATATATATATATATATATATATATATATCACATTCTCTTTGTCCATTCATCTGTAGTAGACATCTCTGCAACAATAAACATGAATGAGCCAGTATTTCTATAGTAGAACTTGCAATTCCTTGGGTATATCCAGGAGATGTTTAGCTGGATCATGTGGTAATTTTAGTTTTAATTTTTTGAAAAACCTTAATTTGATGTCCACATTCTTGCAGCAGCAATATATATAATTTTATGTATATGGATAAGCACCCACATGTATGTAAGTAACCACATGCATGCCTGGTTCCCAAAAAGGCCAGAATAGGGCATCAGATTCCATGGAATGAATACTACAAGCTGTTATAAGCCACTGTATGGGTGCTGGGAACTGAATCTAGGTATTCTGAAAAAGTAATAAGTGCTTTTGACTACTGACTCATTTCTCCAGACCCTATTTTCACAGCTCTTTATAGATTCTGTATGTAAATCTTGTGCTTACTGTATAGTTGAAAATGATTTTTCTCCCATTATATTAGCTGTCTGTCTCTTCATCTTGCTACTGTTCAGAAGTTTTTGATTTAATGAAATTCCATTTGACCATCCTAGGGCTATTTCCTGTGCTATAGTCTTTTCCTCAAATATTTGACTATTTTTATGTCTTGAAGTATTTGACCCATTTTTCTTTAAAGTTTCAGGTCTTACATTAGGATTGCTTGTCAATTTTATATTTATTTTCATGCAGGTTGATAGATGTGTAGTGAGTAGCTGATGCATCCAAAGTAGTTTAAAATGTTATTATAACAATGTTACAATTGTAAAAAATCTTGCCATGTTCAACATAAAGTGTCCCAATTTATCAGAAAAGGATGTCCAGGCTCCCAAGACTGTCTCATCTCTCTTACTGTAGTCCTCTTTCCCTCTGACAATCTTGATGTTCTTATAATATATTTCTTTAGTGGCATTTCTCTCATTATCTCAATTTTACTCACTGTTCCTCACTAGAAACACACTCTTAATCATAATTTTGGATGTCATTTAGTTGCCATCTATCAACATGTGAAATCACAAATTGTTTCATGTTCCCCAGTACTCAGCTTTATTGAAGTGACTGCATGGTATGGGTGAGAGTTCCTTAAAAATGTTATATAATTGTGTGGTGTTTATGGCAACTCATCTTTAAAGGGGTAAACACAACATGATTTTCTGCACTGTTTGGAACAAAACAATACTTTTCCACTTGGATAATAAACTCCCAAGTGCATCTGGAGCTGATTAATTTGTTTTGCTAACAAAAATGGGAAAATCACAAGTTTTGAATAGCCAACACAAGTGACTGTCATATGCCCCAGGTACAGAAAGCAGTCAGTATTATAAATAAATGAACAAAAGGCTTGGAAAACAAGACATAAAATTTCTATCTCAACTATGAGTTGAGACAGAATGTTTAGAATTTAAACTTATAGCTATAATAAATCATCAGAATTTGTAGAGCTAAAGAAATTATTTTGTATTAATGAAAGTAGCTTACTTTCCACACAGATATTAAGTGAAATGTGCTACTTTTTCTATGATTTTACAGGAGAGCATTTCATAAGGAAATAGTTACCTCCAAGTTTGACTGGGACCTATTCCCTGCTAGGACATTAAAACATGCTCAGATGAAATGGCATGTAATTACTGAGCTGCAGAGAACCTGCAAAACCATTTCCGATTCACAGTCCAGTACATCCTATACAGTAATCTACATGCATGAACACTCTTAGAAAACAAACCAAAAAAAGGACCTAATTCAGGAGACTTCTTTCTATAATCATTACATTTAAGCCTGCGGAGATCTAGATAGACACTACCTTGTAATTCTTTTGATTTCTAATGTAGTTCTGCATTCACACTGTGGTGAACTGGAAAGAAGGCAATTCATTAGTTAACTTATTTTAAATGTTCATTGTGTTGTATTAGGTAGAATGTACTAAAATAAATACAAAGGTAAATGCAGTAGGCCTCATGATTTGGTAGTGAATGAGCTTGGATCATGAGCAAGTCTGTGCTGTTAGACAGAAGGTGATATTTAGTAGAAGAGGACAGATATTTTGTGCTTCCTTGTGCGCAGAGACTTTTCTGATGAAAAGTTTCAAAGAAGATGGCACCTAGATGATAGCGGGTCTAAGGAGACAATGATGAAGAGACACACGAGTGTTCTGAGCGCAGAGGAGGTCTCTGGGCACAGACCCAGAGACAAATGACTTGACGATGTTTTGAAAAGAGCAAATACTTGTTTTAATGTTGCTTCTGACCTGCTAAAAGTAGATAAATTAGCTTGTGGATATTACTAAGAAGCAACCTAGGATACTAAACCTTTCATTTCTTTTGATGGTAGAGAGTCAGTATTGGTTTGAGAAGGGGTGGTGAGATTAATTGAGCTTTAAGCCTGGTTCTGTCTGCATCTGTGAAAAGTTAAGAAAGATCATGTTAACACTTTGGTATGAAGCAAAGTCCCATGTTCCTACAAAGCTCCTCATTTCTCATGAACTGTAGCCATGTTAGCGTCCAAGCTGGGCCATCAACAACCATCACATGGCCAGCTTCCCAGCTTTGGCTCTGGTGATTCCTCAGCTGGGCCACCTAGTCTTCAGTAAACTGTAGCTCAAGCTGTGTACTCCAGTAAGTTTCTGCTCCAAAATAATTTTCTTAAAGTTGTAATATGACTACACTCTTAAAAACTACAACATTCCTCCCCATAAGATCCTCGCCCCCAACCTTCTGACTATTGTAAGTCCTCCAGACCACAAACATACATGAAATTCTTTAAATGAAATGTGAGTTTCCCTGTCATTCAGATGGAGTATCTAGTATTGGTACACTATGGTGTACATCTACTCCTGTGACCAGTAGCTTTCAGGCTAGGATTGGTATCTGAATGAGCTCATGTTTGTAAGTTGTGCCTTTCATACCTTCAAAATAAGATGCTACTTAAAAGTAGAAGAAAACACTTGAGCTAAATGAGTAAGGAGACTAGTTTATTGATCTGTGTTTCTTTCCTTGTGCTTCTTAAAGAAGTATAACTTTCTGGGGTGGCATATGTCCATGTGATTTGTTGTTTTGTTATCTCTTCTAGAGATGCCTATAGATTAGGATGTTTCCAATGGGTGGTTGAGAAGTAATTTGGAAAGCAGTTGCTGCTCATGAATCACAGTGTGATTGTGTTTTACCAATTATTAACTAGAAAACATAGTGTAACAACTATCTTAGAGTTTATATTGCATTAAGTATCTTAAATAAATATTAACAATTTAATGATATGGTATGTATTTAGTCAGGGTTCTCTAGAACAGAACTGATAGAATGAATCTATATATAGTCAAAAGGGATTAGTTAAAATGCCTTCCATGCTGTGGTCTGGCTAGTCCAACAATAGCCTTCTTACAAGGGAATTCCAAGAATCCAATAGTTATTCAGTCCATGAGGCTGGATTTCTCAGCTATTATTCAATGTGTTTGAGAATCCCAAAGAAGTAGATGCTAACGCCATGAAAGGAACAATTCAGGAGCAGGATAGATGAGGTAGAGCTGTGTCACTGGTGGTGGGTTTGAGGTTTCAAAGACCACTTTATTCCCAAGTAGCTCTCTGCCTCTGCTTGTGGATCAAGGTGTAAGTTCTGAGCTATGACCTCATCACCACTCCTGTCTGTCTACGGTCATGCTTTTCATTACGATGGTCATGGGCCAACCCTCTAAAACTATAAATCACCAATAAATTATGTCTGCTATAAGTTGTCTTGGTCATGGTGTCTAATCACAGCAATATAAAAACAACTAACACACTAAGGGATTGTACTCATTTCCTAATAATTTTGAGTTATTTACATTTATGGGTTTGAGGAGGGGTAAGTCACACAAGGGTTAGTCTACAAATCCATAGGCTGTGTATCTATGTCCCAGTTTCCTGTAACAGACATAGATGATTATAAGATTACCAGGACTTGGACTTTAAAGAGAATTAAATGTCAGCACCACACACAAGAAAAGCAAAAGCAAAAAGAAACTATTTCCTAGGAGAACTGACATTGACTGAGTGCACACAACACATTTCTTCTTCAAGTCACTGAGATAAGGA